TTCCTTTCCTTCCTTCCTTTCCTTCCTTCCTTCCTTCCTTCCTTTTCTTTTCTTTTTTGATGAGAGATTGTGAGGTGCTAAAACCACACAGTTACTTACACTAATAATTCATGAAACTGGCGTCATAAAAACACAGCACTGAAACACAGCCCCCGCTACAGTAAGGGGAAGGGCAGCCCAAGGGTAGTGTGAACCCACCTGTAAAGCCACAGGCTTCCGCCAAAAGGAACGTGCTCCAGGACATCAGGAAGAAGAGTGCCGTCTCCAGGAGGGGGAAGCAGTGCAGCTTGGTGAACTTGGTCACGTGGGCCCCCCCGTCAAGGAACTCGGCTCCAGGAACAAGTTATCAGGGCCACCAAGAACCACGCTCCCTCAGCCCGGGACTCCCCTCCCCCTCCCTAAGGGCTATCCTTTCCCTCCAACACTTCTTTTGGGGGCCCCACAGCTGCTGCTCGGTTCTTAAAGTCATAAAAACTGAGTTCTTTCTAGCAGGAAAGAGGTTACTGAGGGCTGGGAGAGAGGAGAAAGCGGGATACCGTTTCTTGGGTCCACGGTTTCTGTCTGGGATGATGCAAAGGTTCCGAAAACAGACAGAGGGGATGCTTACACAATGTGGATGCACGTAATGCCACCGAGGTGGACACTGAAAAGTGGTTACAGGGGCAAATTGTGTTATAGGTATTTTATCGCAATTAAAAAAAAAAAAACAAACAAACCGATAATGTAGCATACCGAAAACCAAATGGGGTGAATGGCACGGTATGTGAATTTTATCTTAATAAAGCTGTCTTTAGAAATTGAACTTTCTAAGGAAACCAGAAAGAGGTCTTCTGTGCTCTTTGCAATGCCCCCTGGCTCTGAGGAGCACGATCTTGGCCTGAGGGGTGACTGGCAGGTCAGTCTTAGCAGTGCCGAGGGTGGGGGGGTGGGTACCACAGGCAGGCCGGGGGAGAGTTGGCCAGTGAGACTCTGACCTCTGTGGGCCACCATGACCAGAGTTCACAGCAGGCGTCTCATGAAGGCATGACACACTAAAAAAAAAAAGAAAAAGAAAAAGAAAGCACACCCCCAGGGGCAACGACAAGGTGCTTGTGTCACTTTCTGGGACCAGAGATTGCCCTCATAGCACTGCCCTTCCACAGTGGTCCAGCACGGAACTATCTCACGAGTGCTTTCACCGAACAGTGGAAGTCCCCGGGGCATCTAAAGGGCCTCTGTGAAGAAAGCAACTGGATCCGCGCCATCCAATATGGCAGCCGCTAGCCACACGTGGCTGCTGAACGCGTGGCGTGTGGCTAGTCCAAACTGAGATACGCGGGAAGCGCAAAATATGTGCCACGTCTCAAAGATTTAATATACAAATGAATGTATAAAGTCTCATTGATAATTTGTACAATGATCGGAGGCTGAGACAATGCGGCCGGCACCTGCGGCTCCTGTTACCTTGTACTGGGCAGTGGCGCCGTCGAAAGATATGACAAAGGACTCAGCACATCTGCCCGGGGGCCGCCTGCTCATTCCACACTGTGCTTTTATGTCGCTTGGTCGGCGTTTAACTCAAGATGACACCATCCTTCGCTTGAGGGAGGCCACCTTGCAGTAATTCCCACCAATGGCCGCAGGTGGTTGCGGCCACAGTAGCCCGCGTGACCCGTAACAGTAGGTGGCAGTGGCGAGCTGGAATCTAAAGTACTTCCCAGCCTGCTCCCTCCCGGCCTCCTGTGTGGTGATCCCTGACCCCCTGCCTCCTCCTGGCTCTTTTCACCACCACCCCCTAAAGCCAATGTTTTCCCTGAACTCGCATCCCCAACTGGTTCACAGCAGGGAGCCAATGCAAAGGGGGGGCACCGAGCTTCGGCCAGAGTCACACTCCCCAACCTTTTCTCGGACTCTTAGCTACACCCTCGACGGTCACGTTTGACCAAAGGGACCCATTTCGGGATCCTGCAGAAAAAAAAAAAAAAATCCACCTCTGAAAGGGAGAACCGAAACCTTGTTGTCGCGAGCGCGACAGCACACGATCCTACCCGGGGTGGGCACGATGACCACCAAAAGGATATTAGAGCCGTCACGACGCCAGTTACGGCTCCCATGGTAAAAGAGCCACTGAATATACCTAGGAAGATGCCCACTGATTTAAAAAAGGCAGCAGCATCAAAGGCATGAGTATTCAGCCCCGCTGGCTGGTAGGCAACGATAGACCTGGGGTTTAAACAGAAGAGAGAGTTAAAACGGAGTGCACTGTCTTTACACCACGGTCCCCCAAAATACCCACAAACATAGGCATCTACACTCTGCCGAGCACTCCCCGTGGTATAATTCATTTCATCCACAGCCATCCTGTCACGCTGGTATCAGCATTCAGATTGCTGCCAAGCGGACAAAGCAACATAACTTTTATCGACCAACCTGATAAAACCTCATTTCAAAAAAAACTAGCCAGTTCAATGTTGAACGCTTTTAAGATAAGCCTCTGAATGTGGCCCAGAGCATTCAGGAAGCCAGACTCTCTCTTCGTCGGGGAAGAAATGCTGTTACTTACGAGGACAGGACGATGGCAACAGCATCATTCAGGACGCTTTCTCCAAACAGGAGTGCGTAGAGGTCCACGTCTGCGTGCAGTTCGTTAAATATCGCCAGTACGGTCACTAAAAATGAGCACAAAGCAAATAAATTCGTTTCAGTTTCTGACTTTAGGCCACTGATGACAAATGCAGAGAGGCAATTCCTGCCTTTGGCGGGCCAGGGTGGTTTGGGAGACAGTCAGGGAGTCAAGGACAGGTTGTGTATCTGCGGGATAAATGAAAATGACAGTCTTCCTGGTCTGGATGAGGTCTCATGTGGTGCTTGATTCTAGTAACACTGCACTGAGACTCTGCGCTTTCTACCGCAATCCCATCATGCTTTGAAAATACCGCTATTCCAGAACTTAAGAAAAATAATCACAGTTCATGTGATCTGGCTCCACTGGTGGGTTGAAATCTCTTTGAAGGCAAAAACCTTGTTTCATTGACCACCGCGTCTCCAGAACCCAGTATAGGTACGGAGAAGGCTTTAGTAAAGGTCTGTGAGATAATGGAAGTCTTCTTTTATGACAGAGCAGATGTCTGTCATAGCTCATAGTCTTGACATGTCTTAGACATTTAAAAAACAGCTATTCTCCAGGGGCGCCTGGGTGGCTCAGTTGATTAAGCGCCAGACTTCGGCTCAGGTCATGATCTCATGGTTCATGAGTTCGAGCCCAGCGTCGGGCTCTGTGCTGACAGCTCGGAGCCTGGAGCCTGCTCTGGATCCTGTGTCTCCCTTGCTCTCTGTCCCTACCCCATTCATGCTCTGTCTCTCTCTCAAAAACAAATAAACATTAAAAACAATTTTTAGGGGCACCTGGGTGGCTCAGTGGTTGGGTGTCCGACTTTAGCTTGGGTCACGATCTTGTGGTCCGTGGGTTCGGGCCCTGCCTCGGGACCTGTGTTGACAGCTTGGAGCCTGGAGCCTGCTTTGGATTCCACATCTCCCTCTCTCTGTACCCCTCCCCCATTCACTCACTCATTCATTCATTCATTCATTCATTCATTCTCTCTCTCTCTCCAGAAAATAAACATTAAAAAAAATTTTAATGAATAAAAAGCAGCTATTCTCCAGATGAGCAGTTCTCAAACTTTTGGTCTCAGGACTCCTTTATACTCTTAAGGATTATTGAGGCACCTGGCAACCTTTAGTTTTGTGGGCTATAGCTATCGATAGTTACTGTATTAAGTAAAACAAAAATTTAAATACTTATGCACTTAAAATTACTAACGAACCCATCATATGTTAACGTCCATGTGTGTAACGAAAAATAATTATATTTTCCAAAACAAAACAAACTTAGTGAGAAGAGAGCCACTGTTCTACAGTTTTTCAAATCTCTTTACTATCCAGATTAACGGGAGACAGATGATTCTCTTATGTTTCTGTGTCCGATCAACAGATAGTCAGCACTACATGTTATGTAGCCTCTGGGAAACTCCACAATACTGCACGGTCATGAAAAAAATGGACATTAAGAAAGACAAATAACGTTTTACTATTATCAAATCAGCTTGGACCTTATGCAGACCCCCTGAAAGCTTCTCAACATTCACACCCAACTACCTTCTGCTTTTTTTAAATTTTATTTTAGAGAGAGCACAAGTGAGTGGGGGGCAGAGAGAGGGAGACAGGATCTGCGCTGACAGCAGAGGGCTCGACGTGGGGCTTGAACCCATGAAACGCGAGATCATGGCCTGAGCTGAAGTTGGACGTTTAACCGACGTTAAACCACCCAGGTGCCCCTTATTATTATTTTTTTTATTTGAGAGAGAGAGAAAGAGAAAAAAAAAAAAAAACACGCGTGAGCCGGGGAGAGGGCAGAGGGAGAAAGAGGGAATCCCAAGCCGGCTCCACGCTCAGTATGGGGCCGAATGCCGGGCTCGATCCCATGACCCTGGGATCATGACCTGAGCCGAAATCAAGAGTTGGATGCTCAACTAACAGCCACCCAGGTTCCCCTAAATTTATTTTTTTTAATGCTTTTTTACATCTCGTTTACTGCCCGGGTTCCTTGTCTGTTTCTTCCTGTCAACTCTTTCCATAATGCTCCACTGTTTTACCCCTCTAATTTCTGAATTTTCCAATCCTGAGATATACAGTTCTTTCATAACCTCTATCGCTTTCTCAATTTCCTTTAGCTTCTATTGGAATATTAGTCTTAGTGTGCTTTGGTACCCAATTTTGCTGATACGACTTAATTATCTGCAACTTTATTATTCGGAAGGGCGATCTTCATTTTTTTTCTTACAACATGCTTGCGTCCGATTCACCAATCTGTGTCTACTGCTCGCTGTTAGGTGAGATGGGAAGACCCAGAATAGTTTTTCTCCTTTCATGGTTCTAGGGCTCCCTCTGCTGGTTTTACATTGAAATACTGAAAATATGGCCCCTGAGGGTAGCCACCCTCTCAATAATTTTCTTTGTGTTTATTTTTTTGAGAGAGAGAGAGAGAGAGAGAGAGAGAGCGAGCGAGCGCAAGCAGGGGAGGGGCAGAGAGAGAGGGAGACACAGAGTCCGAAGCAGGCTCCAGGCTCCGAGCTGTCTGCATAGAGCCCGACACGGGGCTCGAACCCACGAATGCGAGATCATGACCTGAGCTGGGAGTCGGACGCTTAATCAACTGAGCCACCCAGGCGCCCCGCCACCTCCTCAATATTCAATGAAATCTACTTCCTCTGTGTTCTATTGGCATCTGAGCTTGCTTTCTCCTTTAATGCCCTGTCAAGCAGGGTCCGTGGTCCCAGCGGTTCATTTTTAGGGAGTGGCTCTGTCCTTCCAGAGAGATTTTCACCGGGTGTTTTTTTGAGAGCCCTGAGGGCTCAGGTCTCTCTAGCAGCCTCACACCTCCTCCAGTGTCCTCGCCCGTTGTCAACCACAAATCAGAGCCTGTAAAGCACCTCCCAACTGTAACGGTTGTTATCCGATATGCCTACAAAGTTCTTTACTCCAGGCGGGGACCCCTCCTTTTGAGGGTGAATACTTGTAGGAAAGTTCCCTCCTATTCTCACCTCTGCTTCCTCCTGTACAGCTGCTGTTCGGATCCCTAAGTCCCCCTGCTGCTGGCAGTTCAATATTTGGGGATTCATGGGCCCTCCGTCAGCTAGCTGGAGCTCTGGTTTTCCTTTTGCTTTCCTGCTTTCTCTATTTCTGTTAGGGGTTAAGGAAGATTCCCAAACTACACTCTCCCCCTCGTGCTTTCCTTTTCAAGTAAGTTTAATTCATTTATAGAGGGGAAGAAAGAAGTGATGTGGATATGAAAGATGTTGACTGTGTCCGGAGGCTGCCCCAGGCAATGATGCCCCTCCGTGCTCCAATCGCTACTCTAACCGTTCGAACAGTAGCGGGACATCAACAGGGGGGCACTACCAGAAGCCACAGTTCCTAGAGGACATGTCAATCTCTTTCCTCCACCCTTAAATACAGTTTACTGGGTGACACAATAGGAAACAATCTTTAGGGATTTGACTGAAAACATCTTATTTTCTGGATTATCTATCTATCTATCTATCTATCTATCTATCTATCTATCTATCGTAAGAGTATGAGTTGGGGAGGGGCAGAGGGAGAGGGAGAGAGAGGATCCCATGCAGGCTCCACGCCCAGCACACAGCCCGACCGAGGGCTAGATCTCACGACTGTGAGATCATGCCCTGAGCCGAAATCAAGAGTCGGACCCTCAACCAACCGACTAAGCCACCCGGGCACCCCTGGATTATTTACTGCATGAACAGTATCTGTGGCTCCTTAGAGAAAATCCGTGCTGGTTAATTTTATGGGCCAACCTGACTGGGCCATGGGGACCTCAGATATTTGATTAAACATTATTCTGGGTTTGTCTGTGAGGTTTGGGATGAGATTAACACTTCAGTTGAAGGCAGAAGTCTCCTGCCTTTGGACTCGGCTTGGGACTACGCCATTGGCTTTCCTGGTTCTCAGGCCTCTGGACAGCAGATGTGGGGACTTCTCAGCCTCCATAATCACAGAAGCCAATTCTTTATAACCAATAAATCTCTTTTCTCTCTCTCTCTCCCCTCTCTCTCTCTCTCCACATACACACATACACACACACACACACACACACCTATATATTCTGTTTCTGTGAAGAACTCTAACACAAAACCTTTATTCTAGTACCTCATCACTCTGTGACAAGAACTCTCTTTTTAAAAAAAAGTTTGTTCATTTTGAGAAAGAAAGAGAGAGAGAGAGAGAGAGAGAGCAGGAGAGGGGCAGAAAGATAGGGAGAGGGAGAAACCCAAGCAGGCTCTGCCATGTCGGTGCAGAGCCAGACGCAGGGCTCGATCTCATGAACTGTGAGATCGTGACATGCGCTGAAATCAAGAGTTGGACACTTAACCAACGGAGCCACCCAGGCGCCCCAAGAATTATCTTGTTTTAACCCAATACGAAAGAAAAATTAACAATGCTAATAATAATAAACCACAATTACTAAGGGCTTACCATGAAGCAGGCACTATGCTAAACATTATTTTTAATGCTTACTTATTTTTGAGAGAGCAAGAGTGGGGGAGGGGCAGAGAGAATGGGGGACAGGGGACCCAAAGCGGGCTCTGCACTGACAGCAGAGAGCCCGACGCAGGGCCGGAACTCACGAACTGCGAGATCGTGACCTGAGCCGAAGCCGGATGCTCAACCGACTGAGTCACCCAGGCGCCCCTCTGCTGAACACTGGACAGTGTCATTTAGGCCTCACAAAACCCTAGGTGGGCAGTACTATTATTTCCGCTAATTCAGAGATGAGAAAACGGGTCTGATGGGCTGCTTTCTGCTACAGCATCCAAACTCCTAAAATCTCAGTGGTCGAACCCAGGAGAAGTTTTATCCGTCATTCCTGTGACACGTCCACTGGGGGGCTGGCACCGGAGGCCTGTGGTCACACCAGTCACTCAGGGACGCAAGACTGCTAGAGGCTGGTCTCAATGGATGGGCGGCCCAGGAGACCTGGGGCCCAGGACTTTATCAATCAGGGTCCTGGCAGGAAACAGCACCCTCGAACTGAGCAACTTGAGAAGCGTTTAATAAAGGGATTATTTACAGAAGTGTGGGCAAACTATGGGGAAACCACAAGAGAGAGAGGACAGCACGTGCGGGTGAAAACGGGGAGCTTTTATACCATCCCTCAGCCTGGAGGGTCCAGAGGAGGCGTGACTCTGCCGAACCAGGAGCCGGTCTATGTCTCCACCCTCCTTCTGGTCTCCCACTGGTGCTCCCCTGTGGACACGTCCCAGGGGAAACCAGCAGGCAAAGGGACTTTGAAATCTTCCACACAAACCAGCCTCTTGGTGCCAAAAGGAGGGTGGTGAGTAAATCTGGAGGGGCAAAGAGGAGCCATCCCACGTAGCTGCCAACTGGCTATGAGAGCTTAGCACACAGCAAAGTCCAAAGATTTAGTGAAGTGGGGGGTTTAAGCTCTGTGATTTTCCAGAGCCCCCGTGACTTTATTTTCTTTTTAGAAATGTTTTTTTTGGCGCCTGGGTGGCGCAGTCGGTTAAGCGTCCGACT